AGGGTTTACAGTTTGGTTCAAAGGCTCTCAGCACCCCCACTATGCAAATTGTTCCAGCACCACTGTCAGAGGCAAAAAGAAAAGGAGGACTTGTGGCACCTTAGAGACTAACCAATTTATTTGAGCATGAGCTTTCGTGAGCTACAGCTCACTTCATCAGATGCATACCGTGGAAACTGCAGCAGACTTTATATATACACAGAGAATATGAAACAATACCTCCTCCCACCCCACTGTCCTGCTGGTAATAGCTTCTCTGTGTATATATAAAGTCTGCTGCAGTTTCCACGGTATGCATCTGATGAAGTGAGCTGTAGCTCACGAAAGCTCATGCTCAAATAAATTGGTTAGTCTCTAAGGTGCCACAAGTACTCCTTTTCTTTTTGCGAATACAAACTAACACGGCTGTTCCTCTGAAACCTGTCAGAGGCAAGGAAATCTCTCCCTTTCTGCCCACACACCCTTCACGTTCAACACTTTTAACACATTTTCAACAAGTTTTAAGGAGCAAGTTACATTAAAATTAAGCTCCCCAAAAAAATCAGAACAGCAGCCTCTTAGGGCCTGAACATGTGAGGTGCTGAGCAACAACTCCTCCCAGGCTACAGTGCATCTCACAGGCTCAGAGGGACTGGAAACTATTTACATCCCCAATCTCCAGTAAGAACAGCATCAGAGATCACAGCTAAGGCCCTGAAATAGCAACAGAGTACAAGACCACATGCCCAATAGACCAGGTTCCTCACACCCCCAACCAGGGAGTGGGGTGGGGGGAAACTAGTAAATACATCACTGAATCACACAACAAAACCCCATTGCATCCCTAGAGGGAAGACTAACCCACCCCCACCCTAAACCCCACAGCCCCGCTGAGAGAGCACCCCTCCTCCCAGTGTGAGACACCAGCAGGTCTGGAGCCGCACTTCAGTCCCCTAAGTCCCATGTTCCAACCCTTTAGCCCCATAATCTTAGGGAACCCTCCTCTCATCCCCCCAGGGGCCTCCCTTCTCCACAGGCTGGGCCTCCTCACATAACTATGAGGTTCTTTAGACACAGACTCTCCCCTGCACAGCCCCCAATCTCCTTCCCATGGGATATCCCCCAATCCCCCTACAGGGACCCCCACAACCCTCCCCACAGGGACCCCCTCCCCACAGGATCCCCACACAGCCCCCTATGGGATCCCCCCGCACACACACAGAGCCCCCCACGGGGCCCCCCGTACCCCTTCCCCGTGGGATCCCCCGCACACACACAGCCCCCCACGGGGCCCCCCGTACCCCTTCCCCGTGGGATCCCCACACACACACAGCCCCCCACGGGGCCCCCCATACCCCTTCCCCGTGGGATCCCCACACACACACAGAGCCCCCCACGGGGCCCCCGTACCCCTTCCCCGTGGGATCCCCCCCGCACACACACACAGAGCCCCCCCACGGGGCCCCCGTACCCCTTCCCCGTGGGATCCACACACACACACACACAGAGCCCCCACGGGGCCCCCACCCCTTCCCCGTGGGATCCACACACACACACAGCCCCCCACGGGGCCCCCCGTACCCCTTCCCCGTGGGATCCACACACACACACACAGAGCCCCCCACGGGGCCCCGTACCCCTTCCCGTGGGATCCACACACACACAGAGCCCCCACGGGGCCCCCGTACCCCTTCCCGTGGGATCCACACACACACACACAGAGCCCCCCACGGGGCCCCCCGTACCCCTTCCCCGTGGGATCCCCACACACACACACAGAGCCCCCCACGGGGCCCCCCGTACCCCTTCCCCGTGGGATCCCCCCCACACACACACAGAGCCCCCCCACGGGGCCCCCTTACCCCTTCCCCGTGGGATCCCCACACACACACAGAGCCCCCCACGGGGCCCCCCTACCCCTTCCCCGTGGGATCCCCACACACACACACAGCCCCCCACGGGGCCCCCCGTACCCCTTCCCCGTGGGATCCCCCCACACACACACACAGAGCCCCCCACGGGGCCCCCGTACCCCTTCCCCGTGGGATCCCCCCCCACACACACACACAGAGCCCCCCCACGGGGCCCCCCGTACCCCTTCCCCATGGGATCCCCCCCCGGCACACACACAGAGCCCCCCACGGGGCCCCCCGTACCCCTTCCCCATGGGATCCCCACACACACACACAGAGCCCCCCACGGGGCCCCCCGTACCCCTTCCCCATGGGATCCCCCCACACACACACAGAGCCCCCCCAGGGGGCCCCCGTACCCCTTCCCCGTGGGATCCCCCCCGCACACACACACAGAGCCCCCCCACGGGGCCCCCGTACCCCTTCCCCGTGGGATCCCCACACACACACAGAGACCCCCACGGGGCCCCCGTACCCCTTCCCCGTGGGATCCCCCCCACACACACACAGCCCCCACGGGGCCCCCGTACCCCTTCCCCGTGGGATCCCCCCCACACACAGCCCCCACGGGGCCCCCCGTACCCCTTCCCCATGGGATTCCCCCGCACACACACACAGAGCCCCCCACGGGGCCCCCCGTACCCCTTCCCCATGGGATCCCCCTCCGCACACACACACACAGAGCCCCCCCACGGGGCCCCCCCACACCCCTTCCACGTGGGACCTCCCCACACACACACACACAGGCCCACACACCCTCTCCAAGAGGATCCCTCTCCCTGGCACCCCCAAGGCAGATCCCTCCCATGCGCCCCTCCCCCAGCAGCTCAGCCCACGGCACAGGGCTGGGGGCTGCCTCACACCCCCCCCACACACACACACACACACACACGGGCTCCCCCCGGCCGGCCCGCCCCGCCCCGCCCCGCGGGGGCCCCCCGCAGCCCGGCCGGAGCGGGGCAGGGTCCGTCCCCCCGCCGGGGCCTAGCCGGGGCGGGCGCTGCGCGTGCGGCTCCCCGGGCGAGCCCGGCCGGCGGCTCCCGCCAGCCCCGCGGCAGCGGGCGGGGAGCGGAGCGGAGCGGGCCACTCACCCTGCGGCGGGCCCGAGCGGAGCGGAGCGGAGCGGAGCGGCGGCCGGAGGAGGCGGAGCAGCCGGGCCGGTCCCTGCTCGGCGGCGGCAGCGGCAGCCTGGCAGGAAGGGGAGCGCGGGGCGGGGAGGAGGCGGCGGCAGCGGCACGTCCACGGCGTCTGCCGGCCCCCTCCCGCCGCCCGTTAAAGGCGCAGGGCCGCGGGGCCGGGGGCAGCGCCTGACCCGAGAGCCGCCGTCTGGGACCGGGCCCGCCGGGAGCCGGATCCGGATCCCCCCCGACACCCTGCGGGGACCCCCCAGCCTGAGATCCCCCCCACCGGGATTCCCCCAGACACGCCCCCCAGGGGGACCCCCAGCCTGAGATCCCCCCACCGGGATTCCCCCAGACACGCCCCCCAGGGGGACCCCCAGCCTGAGATCCCCCCACCGGGATTCCCCCAGACACGCCCCCCAGGGGGACCCCCAGCCTGAGATCCCCCCACCGGGATTCCCCCAGACACGCCCCCCAGGGGGACCCCCAGCCTGAGATCCCCCCCACCGGGATTCCCCAGACACCCCAGGGGGACCACCAGCCTGAGACCCCCCACCGGTCCCCAGACACCCCAGGGGGCCCCAGCCTGAGTCCCCCACCGGGTTCCCCAGAGCCCCAGGGGCCCAGCCTGATCCCCCACCGGATCCCAGACAGCCCCAGGGGACCCCAGCCTGAGATCCCCCCACCGGTTCCCCAGACACCCCAGGGGCCCCAGCCTATCCCCCCACCGATCCCCAGAAGCCCCCAGGGCCCCAGCCTATCCCCCCACCGTTCCCCAGACACCCCCAGGGGACCCCAGCCTGAGACCCCCACCGGGATTCCCCAGAAGCCCCAGGGGGACCCCAGCCTGAGATCCCCCACCGGGATTCCCCCAGACAGGCCCCCCCAGGGATCCCCCAGCCTGAGATCCCCCACCAGGATTCCCCAGACACCCCAGGGGGCCCCAGCCTGAGATCCCCCACCGGGATTCCCCAGACACCCCCCAGGGGGACCCCAGCCTGAGATCCCCCAGACACGCCCCCCAGGGGGACCCCCAGCCTGAGATCCCCCCACCGGGATTCCCCCAGACACGCCCCCCAGGGGGACCCCCAGCCTGAGATCCCCCCACCGGGATTCCCCCAGACACGGCCCCCAGGGGGACCCCCAGCCTGAGATCCCCCCACCGGGATTCCCCCAGACACGCCCCCAGGGGGACCACCAGCTGAGATCCCCCCACCGGGTTCCCAGACACCCCAGGGGGCCCCAGCCTGACCCCCCACTTCCCAGACAGCCCCCAGGGGACCCCAGCCTGAATCCCCCCACCGGATTCCCCAGAACCCCCAGGGGACCCCAGCACCCCCCAGATTCCCCAGAACCCCGGGGACCCCAGCCTGACCCCCACGGATTCCCAGAACCCCAGGGGGACCCCAGCCTGAGATCCCCACGGATCCCCCAGACAGGCCCCAGGGGCCCCAGCCTGAGATCCCCACCGGATTCCCCAGACAGCCCCCAGGGATCCCCAGCCTGAGATCCCCCCACCAGGATTCCCCAGACAGCCCCCAGGGGGACCCCCAGCCTGAGATCCCCCCACCGGGATTCCCCCAGACAGCCCCCAGGGGGACCCCCAGCCTGAGATCCCCCAGACACCCCCCAGGGGGACCCCAGCCTGAGATCCCCCCCACCAGGATTCCCCCAGACACGCCCCCAGGGGGACCCCCAGCCTGAGATCCCCCCCACCGGGATTCCCCCAGACACGCCCCCCAGGGGGACCCCCAGCCTGAGATCCCCCCCACCGGGATTCCCCCAGACAAGCCCCCCAGGGGGATCCCCCGCCTGAGATCCCCCCCACCGGGATTCCCCCAGACACCCCCCCGGGATCCCCCAGCCTGAGACCCCCCCCACCGGGATTCCCCCAGACACCCCCCCAGGGGGACCCACCAGCCTGAGACCCCCCACCGGGATTCCCCCGACACGCCCCCCAGGGGGACCCCCAGCCTGAGATCCCCCCCGGGGGACCCCCCAACCTGAGAACCCCCAAGGGGATTCTCCTCAGACCTCTCCAACAGGGATCCCCAACCTGAGACCCCCTTACTGTGATTCTCCTCACAGGGACCCCAAGCCTCAGACACACACACCCCTGCACTGGAATTCCCCCAAACTCTCCCCATGGGAATCCCCAGCCTGTGAGGATTCTCCCCAGATACCCCCCTAGATCCCTGCCCAGGAGGATCCCCCAGCCTGAGACACCCCTGTACAGGGATTCACCCCAGACACCCCTGGAATCCCACAGGCTGAGATCCTGCCCATGGGGATTTCCCCCAGACACCCCCATAGGAATCCCACAGCCTGAGACACTCCCTACCATGTTTCCCCCAGGGAGCCCCCAGCCTGACACCCCCATAATGGGATTCCCATGCTATGGCATATGGGGGCCCCAGTGTTCTGCAGAGCCATATCTGTGTCCACAGAATAAATGTGGTGAGACCCTCAGCTGCGGGTTGAGACGTCTCTTGCGGGGGGCACACAGAGCGGTTACTTGGAGCTGGTGTACTTGGTCACAGCCTTGGTGCCCTCAGACACGGCGTGTTTGGCCAGCTCCCCCGGCAGCAGCAGGCGCACGGCGGTCTGGATCTCCTGGGAGGTGATGGTGGAGCACTTGTTATAATGCCCCAGGCGGGACGCCTCCCCAGCAATGCGCTCGAAGATGTCATTGACAAAGGAATTCATGATGCCCATGGCCTTAGAGGAGATGCCGGTGTCGGGGTGAACCTGCTTCAGCACCTTATAGATATAAATGGAGTAACTCTCCTTCCTGGTCTTGCGGCGTTTCTTGTCCCCTTTATTCTGGGTCTTGGTCACCGCTTTCTTGGAGTCCTTTTTGGGCGCGGGAGCAGATTTCGCCGGCTCAGGTATCTCGATTGCTACTGACAGCACAGAACAGAACCAGCAATGGGTTGAGACGTCAGGCCATGTGGCTCCTGGAAGGATCTTTCCCTGACGGAGCAAGCCATAGAGTGAGAAGGCTGGAGTTCCGAACAGTTGTTAATCATAAGCCTTCAGAAGCATATTTAAACTATTTCACTGAGCTTCAGCAGATTGAGGATGCTATTCTCTGCCAAGGCCTTCTACCCTACCCAACCCAACCCAACCTCCTCCCAGGAGAGAGCATGGCTCTCAATGCTCTTTGCTTTGGCTTGTCTTCACATAGAAGTAGTAATGCTTTAACTATACCAGTAAAATGACATCCCTTCTTTTTAGTGTGGATGGCCCTATACTGGTATAATATTTATGTCCAGCTTGTATATAGCTCTTTTTATGAGTAGGTCTCAGAGTGCTATACAAAGGAGGCAAGTATCATTATCCCCATGCTACAGATGGGAAAACTGAGGCACGGAGAGGCAAAGTGACTTGCTCAAGCTCACCCAACAGGCCAATGGCAGAGCCAATAATTGAACCCTGGGGGGAGGGTGCTTGGGGCTCCAGTGGACGGGGTAGGGGTGGGGTCTTGGGCACAAGGGCTGGGCCACGTGGCTAACTTCCCCAAAGGGGGACTCACGTGTCACGCATGGATCTAACCAATTAGCCAGAGGTTATGCCCACTGCATGTGAGCTCTGCACATTGCTACGAGACTCTAAGGCAGTGATACTCAGTGGTTCAGGAGCCAAATTAGCGATCAACATTACCCAAAAGAGCCACAGTAATGTGAATTCATTGTTTCATTTTCTATAGTACTATATATTCATATTTAAACAGTGTAACAGGGGAAATATTTAGTTTGTTTATATATATAGCCAAGTATTATTATTTTATCAACTACAATTGGTTAATAACATAGTAAAAGCATTCTGATTGGTTAATAATTAAATCACACAGTGTTTCAATATCATGCTGCAAAGAGCCACAGGAGATATATTAAAAAGCCACTTGCACCTTGCAAGTCTCAGCCTGGGTATCACTGCTCTAAGGTCTCATCTGCTTTAGAAGCTGATCTGTGATTCTCCTCCACCAGTGAAAGTTACAGTGTAGACAGGGCTCTGATGTTTTCCACATGTGAACCCATACAGTGCTGTCTGTCTCAGTCTGCAGCCAGCTCCAGAGCATCAGCTGTTTCCTGTAGCTTTACCAAGTAACGATTGGGTGAAATTACAAAAACCCAATTTTTTCACCGCTGTCATTCAGAATTCTGTGGTCAGCAGTGAAACAAGCAAGAATCATATAGCTGGACACAGGAGCAGCTGACATGTCCAGGGCTACAGGCTCAGGAAGCAGCTTGCATACCAAACCTTGTATCTCTGCGCTCACAACACACAGCCAAGTGAAAGCATGTGTCTTGACCCCGCTGTGGATGATGTCTCCACCCTAAAAGCCCATAACCTTCTGGAGTGCAAGGAAAGGGGAAGGAGCCAAAAACAATCAAGAAAAAGAGTCACTGAACAAAAATAAAGGAAAGAACCCAAATATAGGGGGTAGGAAGGGAAAGAGAGAATGAAGACAAAATGGGAGGGAAAAGGAAAGAATGGAGAGGAAAATGTACAGATGTGGCAACTGTGCTGAGATGTTGCAAAAGGGGCACCAACTATCAATCTGTTTCATCAATAAAAGGCAGGGTGGATAAAAATGATTTTTTTAAAAAAATCAAAAAATCTGATTTTTTTAATTTAGATTGGATTTTTTTTGATAAAATGCTTTTTGAGGAAAAAACCTATCTAAAGATAGATGCATTATACCTCAAAGATATCTCATCATGGAATAGGGATTATAAATGCTAATTCTATAGTATGAGACAATATATTCATGTAATGTTTAAGAAAAGTTTTGTAAATGAGTTCCAATAGTTCATGGATTAGGGACCCAATTTTATGGGGTTCCACAGGCTTCTGTATAGAATATGTAGGTTAATCTTTCAATCTACCCAATGGGACTCAATGCTCAGTCTAGATAAGATATCATCAGAGATGCTTAGTTTTGCAGTTCGCAAACTGGATTTGTATCTCCAGAGGTAGCATGCTTGTTAACAGCAAAAATGTTTTTAAATAAATAAATAATATATAGAGGTGAGAAATAACAGACCTCAACTCTATTGTCCCTCTGCAAATTTGTGTACACAGAGTCAACCCCATACCTCTCTCTAAAAGTGCAAAGTTTCAGAAAGTTCAATGAATTGAAGATTGTTGGGGGTGGAATAGATCTGGACAAGGAGAAGAAGTCTGGAGATAAATGTGAGAAGCGAGGGACATATACTTGTTTTGTTAAAATATACGTTTGCTGTTGAAGAAAAAAATCCAGAATACATAACGTTGTTGTTTTAGTTAAATAAAACAATTTAAATATCTGTCTAGTGATGTTCTTTTCCTAATACAGCATGGCAAGAAAATCCTCGAAATATTAATGATTAACCTGTTGAACTGGAGATAGTTCACCTCCCAATGACTTCATAAATATCTGCTTCAGTTATCTTTGGGAAAATGAAATAACCAACAATCATTCATTTTCTGATATTGCTGTAAAACTAAACTGAAAAGTTTTCAAAATAAATCACTTTAAAAATGTATAGTGTGTACCTTCTAAAAATGAAACCTACATCCATCTCTGAGTTGTGAAGAATATGTATTAAGGTTATAACAACCAACAAGAATGCACTTTTATATAGAAAACCATGATTAAATCGAGTCTTCCTGACTAGTGATTTAAATCATGATTTAAATCAAATCTATCCTGGTAAAAGGTCTGAACTGTTTGTTTAGGGACAGCACCCTAGTAGGAATCCCCGTACACTCACGTTCCTAGGAGCTGATTGTGTAAAGCATGAACTAGGCTTCTCACACTAAGCTTGTCGACACCCACAAATTAACCATCATTGACAATGGGGGGGTCCTATTGGCCTCTGGCTAGTAGATGCCTGCTATATTATATTTGTCAGGCCCTGTCACATGTAACTAACTGTTTGTTTACTTGTTCCCAACAAAGGAGTCTTTGAGGAATGAGCAACTCAACTGCTTTAGGTATCAGCGAGGGATTTGCATAGAATCTCTCACTGAGGGCTCATTATTAGCCTATTCACCAGCTGCATTTGTCACTGCAGGCTTCAGATGGATTTCCAGGGTATCTCCAGCAAATAACAGCAACAGTGCGAGACTGACGTTCTGTGCGACTCCATGTGTTATAGGCAAGGGTAAGCAGGGCTTGAGTCAGCGCCCTAGTATGTGGGCACGTACAGTCGCAAAGCTGGTCAGCCAACTGAATGCAAGGCTCACCATCAATTGGTGAGACAGCATTTCGCTGTTCTGTTCTGGAGCTGGCCTTTTTTGCATGTCTCAGCCATCCTGCTGACCTTGTTGTGCACTCTCCCTCTGACTGAACTGTTCTTTCTTCCAAGGATATCATCAGGAATGCTGCTGCATGAGCCAACCGTTAGGGTCCATGAAAAGTGACGTAATCAGCATCATCTGCGCCACAGTGCTTAAGCATTTTATTTCCAAAATAGCACTCGGAGAGCTACAAGTTTATTGCCAGTATCTGTTCACTTTACTCACTGTGCACAGTGACTTCCGTGGGATTACTTAAGTGAGTAAGGTAGCAGTACCAAGTTTGGTCCCTAACCTGAATTTCCCACTGGCAGCTATTACCAAGCTTCCATGCCAGCTGATTGAATGGCCATGGTTTATTTTTACTCTCTTCATTGCAGAAAATCAGTTGTCGAGATTGACCCACTCTCTGCTCCCTTTATTCATTAGAATGCCACTTTAGCTGGCACGGAACCAATCCTGCTCTCACTGAAATGACTGGGAGTTTTGCTGTTGCTATCAGGGAGAGAGGGGTCGGGCCCCATCTTTTCAAGACCACGGTGGAAGAGGCCTGTTCAAACAAACAAACAAACAAACAAAGCCAGGCTAAGCAAGTGAAGGGCTGGGTGTGAAGTGTTTTGTCAACTGCATGCCTGCATACAAAAAATATATCTTGACCCCTGATTTAATCTGTATTGATTTATCCATTCGATTGGTCTGACACAAAGTGGTCCAGTCAGTTCACCGTTTCTCCTCTTGACTAGGCAGCATGGATTTATAACCATGCTCAAGACACAATGCAGTAGTTCTGGATAAACCATCTAGCCATTGCAGGAGCTATACAATTAAATGTTCCTCTTCTACCAGGGCCTCTTGCCCAGCATTTACATGGTTGCACTGTAAAAAAACTCTGTTAGCAGCGATGCCCGTGGAAAACCCCGATCTAGAGCAGCCCCTCCTGTCAAAAACATTAATTTTTTGCCCAAAGTGATCTGTTGGGGGTGGGGGGCTGGGAAGGTAGGGGGTGTATGTGAAATCTGTCCCCACCCTCAGTGGGAACAGACAGATAGCTCAATATGCAGAACTCATGAATCTTGGGATCTCCACGGAGGCTAGGTCCATGGACACTGGCTCCAGGACCCCCTGCCTCAGCCCCTGCCATAGCACTGTGCTGTCAGGCTTATTCACTTTGAGTGGTAGGGGGATAAAAGTTATGTGCCCTACCTCAGCATTTGGGACAGGGGCAGGTGCTGTAGAAGCAGCTCACAGGGGGTCATCTATGTGAATGGATCTAGCAGGCACAATCCAGGCCCCTATCAGGATCTCACATCATCTTCTACATTTGGAACTGCAGTATGACATGAACAATTATAGTTAACACAATGTGTGATTTACCTGTGGAACTCACTGCTGCAAAACAATATTGTGATTAAATGGTTGTTTTAAAAATTATTAGATGAAAGAGCCTTTGCAGTTACATTAATTAGAACAAACATTGTAAGGGCTACAGTGCCCCAAATTTTAGGATGTATGCTGATCACTGGTTGGGATCAAGAACTTTCCCCCATAGTATAACGACACAGAACTAGGTGCATTATGGGAGCTTTATGCTTTCCTTTGAATGATCCAGCATTCA